GCAAAGTTTCACATTGAACCAGAGCGTATAACGCATGCTACAACACTCAACATATTAAACATGATGCATAATATTAAATAATTATAAATAAAAATATGCATTGATATGAAATGCTATTAAATAGAAAGATAAATCATCATGATAATAAAAACATCCAAAGTATATTTAAGTTCAAGTAATCAACACCTCAATCACTCAAAATTCGAAGCATTGTAACCATTTTTTCAAATATATTTATTTGCTAAGAGTTGTCATCATTATCATCAAAGGTTAAAAACACATCATTTACTTCATCAACATCATCTCCTAATTAATAATCTTATTCATTTGCCACAAAAATACATGGCCTATAATTAACATCACCTTCATGTGCTAAAATTATATATTTCCATGCAATATCTTTTTATGTGGTTTGATTTATATCCAACATTCTTTTGAATACCTATAAGCAAAGCATGTTTTCAAATATTTGTACCTTCCTTTTAAATATGTGAATGAAATAATGAATAACAAATAATACAAATATGGCATCAATTGATTCAATGAATCATAAAAAAATATTTCATAAATAACTTATACCCTCTTTCTTAGAAATTAAGGAACATTTACATGTAATGGAGGCACTATTAAGTTATGAGAAAAGGACCAAAATGATCCCTTGACCTTTTTATGATGGACCAAAATGATCTCCAATTATATTAAAAGGTCATTTTGGTCCCTCAAGTCTTTAAAGAATAAGTTGGACTATTTTGGTTCCTTTTTAAGGTATTATGGAACAAAAATAATCATTTAATATAATTGAGGAATTATTTTGGTCTTTCATAAAGAGTCAAGAGACCATTTTGATCTTTTTGTAATTAAGTTATTAAATAAATGATAAAATTCATATGTTAATTTTAATTTTAAAACAAACAATAATGCATGCCATATGAATTTTGTGTCATGCGCTATTGCTTCCATCTAGTGCAAATAGCACGCGCTATTTTGAACATATATGTGGTGCCAAGCAAATGATACCAAGGGTGCGCTGCACCGCATCAAGTGTTATGGTGAGCGCTATTTGGCACCATTGGCATGTAAGTTCGCACTCATCTCAACAAACTATTAGAGACTTATAGCATAGAAAGCTCGACCACCCTAATTTTTCTACTATTTCTATGCCAGCAAAATATGACCCAAATCATGGTTTAAAATTGCACAATATGAGGCTCGCCTTGAGGCCCGCCTTTACGCAATTCCAGTAAAAAACGCCTCGATGCATACGCCTCGAGTTTTTTTTATGAAGCTTGCGCCTTAACTTGGTTGAGGCCCGCCTCGCCTCACTGGCATGAGGCTTACGCCTCACGCTATATATATTAAAACTTACATAAATTTTGAAGTAAATGCCCGACATTGGACTCTATAGGAGAGGAGGAAGGGGAGAGAGAAGTTCATCATAATGATGATTCAAATGAAGAACCCCTTAGTGATGACAATGCTAATGACTTATGAGTTCTTATGAGATATGTCATTGCTATTTATTTTTGGAAATTGGAATTATATGTTAATGAAAAGAATATAGGGATTTGGAAAAGATAGAATATTGAGTTGAACTATATTTCATGTTGTCTTATTATTGTGATATTTTGATTTCACTTCATATCTTATGTTTTTTTATGTTTTATATTATTCACTCATTAGTATATAAAAAATTTATCATTTTATATTTACGCAATCTTTTGACTTTGAGGCTTACGCCTCAAAATGCCTTGAGGCTTACGCCTCGCCTCACGAATGAAAAATGCCTCAATACTCAAATATGCAATTTTAAACATTGACCCAAACATATACAATTCCAATCAAACACAATTATGTACTGCCTACTCTCTAGAGAAAAGTCATAAACTATCATTTTCTCCATCTCGCTCATAATTATAAAATGAGTGAACGTATTCACTCAGACATATGGGGTACTTCCCCCACAACTACAATGCGTGGTTATGGATATTACATCTTGTTTATGAACAATCACTCACGTTATGTGTGGGTCCTTCCCATGCAATTAAAATTTGATGCAACCTCAAAATTTGTTTAATTCAAAAACCAGTTAGAAAAATAATTCAATTGCACGATAAAAATCCTTCACATTGAAGGTGGTGGTGAACAAATAAATTCCACTCTCAATAGGTTACTCGCTAATTTGAGCATCCAATATGAATACATTTGCACATATACACCATTACACCTGAGCAAAATGGAGTTGTTGAATGCAAATATAGCGACCCTCTTGAGACTACATTGACTTGTACTCAACGCTCAAATATCCCATGAGTTAATTAGGGTTGAAGATCTTCTCACCATGGCCAACCTCATTAATAGATTATCCTCCACCACCACCCAAAAAACTATCACCATTTCAACTATTACACAACAAAAAAATCAAGTTACTCTCACTTGAAAATCTATAAATGGTAAACTCTACACTGGCTTCATTTCACAGCTAATGACAAATTATCGCCAAGTCATTTGGCTACAGTTTCTTGGAATATGCCAACTCCCAAAAAGGGCATCATTACTATGACTCAACTTTGGGAAAAAAATTAACCTCACAATATGTGATATTCAATGAAAACTACCACCCTCTTAATCTTTCCCTCGCCTTTCCAAATCAATCACACCCACCACAGCCTGCTTACCTACCTCAAAACCACCCCAACTATACGCATGCAGTCCTACCAAACAAACCAATCTCACAGCTCACCACAGCATTTCTACATGACTATAGTCCTCCAGATCAAACCACAATAACTAAGAAGTCTTCCACCTAACAACACTCTAGTTAGCCTAACAACTTCCTCCATCAGCAAGTCACCAAATGGTCACGAAATTCAAATCCGACCATCTCACGCCAAAAACCATTCCCATCCTTTAGTAAACCAATGCCTCAAGCAAATCCATTTGCAACTCTGCAATAGAGTTTCAAGCCCTTCCAGAACAAAGCACATGGATTCTAGTACCTTCCTCACTAATACAAAATCTACTACAAATGGACATTCAAAATCAAATACAACTCCGCCGACTCGATCCCTAGGTACAAAGCTAGGTTGATCATGCAAGGATAAAAGCATGAGCATGGTCTTAACCTTACAGAAATTTTCAATCCAATGGCCAACCATAAGAATCATTCTCTTGGTTGCTCTCACCCATAGCTAGTAGATTACTCGACATAGCATTTCTAACTCATTCTTACACCGCTGACTCCACAAAATCATGCACATGGCTTAATCATCAAGTTTCAAAGATTCACAAGTCACAACATCCTGCCCATGTATGCCGCAATTTATGGGTTCAAATAAACACCTTGACAATAATTCTCAATATTCACCAGCCACCTACAAAGTCGTTCTAGTTTACCTTCAACACAGTTAATCCTTCATTCGACATATACGCAGCCATTCCGTCACGATCTACATTCTCATCTAGGTCAATGATGTCCTCTTCACCATAAATAACCCCAAAGGTAACACTGATCTACTTTACAATTTATCTGAGTCCTTTAACAAGTGAAACCTTAGTCAACTATCAAGTTTTTCAATCTTCATGCAATGCCAACAAAGTATAGCATTTATCTAAACCAATCTTAATACAGAATAAACTTGCTCCATCACTCAGGCATGCAAAACCAGAAACCAATTATAAATCCCTCTATAGCCAAAAGAACTCTCACTGTTAGCTCCCAAACTGAATTCAAAAAATTCTATCTTCTTTAGCCAACTGGTAGGAACTCATCAATATCATACAATTATGAGGCTCAACATATATTTTGCATTCAACCGTCTATGTCAACACATGCACAAACCATTTCACATCCATTTTAAACATCTCAAGCCCAATTCCACTACCTAAAAGGAATACTATATCAGATCTTCCAATCTACTACAGTCAGTTAAATCTGCATATCTACACCAACTTCAACAAGGATGTCAATACTCATGAATGAAAATCTACCACAAGCTATTGCGTCTTCCTCAGCAACACACTCATCTACTAGTTTGTAATGAAACAAAATACTAAGGCCGAGTTCAGAGCACTCGCTACCTCTCCACCGGCATCATCTAGATTCGCCATCTTCTACAAGAGCTTGATATCTCGCTTTCCTCACATACACTCCGCTATTGGCTCAACATATATGCTCTTGTGCTCGACAAAATATATTTCCACTTACTCAAAGACCACATCAAAGAGCACAAAATTACACTCCATCATGTAGCTTTAGAAGACCAGCTCACAAACTTCATCACTAAGGCATTATCTACCAGAAAATTCACTCAAGGGACAAATCAATGAACATATACAGCTCCATCAAATTAAGGGAAGGTAATAACAACAAAAAATTTAAATATTGTGCCTCGATTAGTGTTGCAGCAAGCAATCTCAATCAATGGCACTCAACTGAAAGCTATCTCTTTGCAAAGCCACCCCAATGAAAACTGTAATAGCATAGGTTTATGAAAAAAAGAATAAACTATTACCCATCGTACTATCTCTTTTTTAGTAATAGTATATGCCTTGATCACTTTTTTCTTAGTTAACGAGAGGTTAAATGGTGCAAATTGCCCGTGTGCCAACTTCTTGCCAAATGGGAAAGGTGCCAAAAAAAGATGGAAACTTGCTTGCATGTTTGAAAAATATACATATATATGAAAAAAAAACTAAGCAATGTTGAAAGCATGGTTGGAGATAAAGCTGAGATTTTGTTAAATCAACCCTTCGTAATTAATTTTTCAAATGGTAGAACTCAATACCTAAATTTCTATGATTCTATCCTAAATAAATTTCAGCAAGTAATCTTAAGGTGAATGAAAATCTTTCATGAACATGCTCTGCAAACCTTCAGTTCTATCTCCCTTATCCTATAATTTGGTATTTGTGTCATGTACCATGTAGCTAACACATTTTTTTCGTTCCACATCTAACATACATTTTTAATCAATATAAGCAAGCATAGAAAGTATAAAAACCTGTTCAAAATAAGGAACTGCCTCTGAAGCTGGTTTGTTGTTGAAGGAGATTACAGCATTGGCCTTGATAAGAAAAGAGTATTTCTTTTGAGACATCATTTGAAAGCTTGATGTTGTGCAAAAATTGATTTCATATCCAATTGGAAACTATTTTTATCTGTGCATTACAATGAAAAATAAAAAAGTTGAATCCTTACCTTGGGTATCTTTTCAGGAAAATAGCTCCCAACAAGCATCTGAAGCAAAGCTCCGTTGCTGTAAAATCCAATTAGAAACATATACTTAAGGATTTCCATGTAATATATAGTTTTTCAAGCATTAGAATGGCAGTTTAACAGCCTTTACCAAACAAACCAATGAAAGTTTATCCGTTAGTCACTATGACAACTATACTAAACACCTAAGATGAATTAAAATTAAAACTTAGAATGGTACTCACTTCTTGTTGATTACGAACCAGATTGAATGCTAGATAACAAGCTAAAACATGCTTGCCAGAGTTAAAAGCAATCACCCAAAGATCTAGCTATATAGATTCACTGAAATTTTTCCAAACATTCATATTCATAATGAGTAAACGAACCATAAATTAATTGAACCAAATCCTATCTCCTCAAAACATAACATAAATATAAACCTTCCAACAACAACATAAAAACAGTCAAACTGAGCTCCACAAACCTATGCCCAACGGAACAGAGAGGCAGATCACAAAGCTCAGATCCAGTGAGATTAGAATCAGGTACTCCAGAAGAAACCAATCGATCCAAGCACGAATGAAACCTCTCGTACACTTCCCTTGCAACGGTGGTATGATCGAAAGTCACGCCATATGGAACAGACACAATTAGGAACCCCTCATTAGCCAGGAGTTCCATCAGATAGCTTCCAGCAAATGAAAATGTCTCAATGTTCAATTTCTCAAATACACTTCTAGGGCGATTGAATTCGAAAGAGAGAAGAGAGTTCGATACCTGTAGGTAAGCTCGGGGGCCGCGCCGATGAAGGCGCCTCCAAGGAACTTCACGATTGCGACGGGCCGGCGGCCAGCCGGAGGTGGAACAACGAGGCAAGAATCGAGCCGGCGGTAGATTTTATCGGGATTGCGGAGCGATTGGCGGCCACCAGTAAAGTAGCCATTGGAAGACAGAAAAGCAAGGGGTACTCGGGGAGTGGATGGCAAGAGGAAAACGGAGGGTGAGAAGGTCGATCGTAGACGATGAGATAAGGGAGGTGGCAGTGCCATTTTAGAAGATTAGAGCAAGAGAAGGATGAGAGGGAAAACAAGGAGACTGAAGTTTGCCGCTTCGACCACGATTTCCTTTCGGCTGACACTCACAGGGCCTGTTTCTTATGCATATGGGCCTAGATATACAACTATTCTTTGGGCCTCCTTATATAAGGGCAATATTTGGAAATGTGAAAGACTGAACCTGAAAATGATGGTGTGAAAGAAATTAAATTAAATTTTTATTTTTATGAGATGGGGCATATGAATCTCTGTTTGGTTTGAACAAATTGAAAAAACAATGAAAAAATAATGAAATCAAAAGGGTTAAATTAATTGAGTGGTATTGTTTTTTTTTTTTTGGATAAAATTAATTTTTAAAATTTTTATTAGGAGTTGCATATAACTATCAACGATTATTTAATATATTTAATTCTAATTTTCACTAAAGTTGAGAAAGAAATTATTAAGTAGAAAAATTATCCATAGTTTTTAGAGAAATATAATTATCCAAAAATTACAATAAAATCAAACAAATAATATGAAATTATCAAACAAATTAAATTTACATTATCTCTAATTCTTTCAACTTAAATAATGCCTGAAAATTTAGAATTCACAATAACATGTGATGTGAATTATAATAGTGAAGCACAATAAACTATTTATAATCTTCTAAAAATCATTATGAGTGAAATGTCATAGATTATTATAGTAAAAAGGCAAGAAGATACAAAGGCTTATAATTCAAAATGCCCAATATTGGAATTAAAAAAAAAATTGTAATATGATTGATCAATCATAATGGCAAAGAATGAAAAACTCATATGCAAATAAAAATAAATAAAGCTGCACATATTTGGACAATAAAGATTTTTTACATGAAAAATATGAAGAGGGATGAATCATATGGCCTTATCTAGACAACTGATCCACTAGCCTTCATTTGAAATTCATATTTGCTTGTGATTTGAGAATGTGATATAAAGAGAAAAATAATTAGAACTTCAGAATTCTATACCCAAAGAGAAAGTTTATATAAAGAGAAAAATAAACTTCAAGAAAAGAGAAATAGAAAATCCAGAGTTTAGAATAGTCCCCTCGCAATGTACGTGAATAATCAAAAAACCAACAACTCTATATTGCTCGTGAGCAAGCAACCAACATATAATAATTCCTTATCCATATCATCATTTCAAAGACAAAGAAATTCGCCATCCAAAAACTCTATACTTCATAACATCCAATGGTTGGGCTATCTAAAAGGCTCGTCATTACAAATAGCTCATGTTTGGCTAGCTACAAAGCTTGTATTTTAATTTTTTGATAAGACGTAAGCGAGTTGAACAAGAACATATTAGTTGTGCTCGATTTATAAAGAAGTCAAAACACATGCTTTTTTTCGCCTTTACTCAACATGTTTTAAACTGAAAATTAAGAAGTAAATAAACAAATAATATTTGTACTATACTATTGATTTAATAAATACAATTTTTTAAAGTAGCACAAGAAAATTGAATTAAGTCAATTCATTTTCTCTCCCATCATTTTAAAGTTAAGAAAATTGCTATTCATTAACATTAAAGGACAAAACTCTTTATTGCTTAATTAAGTTCCATGAGTAGCTAAGCATATAAAAATAGATCATGTAGGATATTGAGGGTTGCATCATGTGGGAATATTTTGATCATCTTAAGAATATTTTTTTGTGTTTTTGAACCTTTTTTGGCAAAGTTATAATCCCTAATTGTGAATGCTCCATCTATATCATTAAAAAAAAATCAAGCTTGCTCATGAATAATTCCAAATACGAGTCGGCTTCAAGTAAATATAAATTCAAATGAGCTAAACACGAACAATCACCACTAAAAATCCCAACAATTAAGAGAGATGTATTATAAACCATGGGATTTAAGTGGCAACCCATAGCATATTGAAGAACTTGAGCAATAGAGGCCTCAAAAAGAAAAAAAATTCAAAGGAAAACAGCTAATAATAAGCTACATTAAGCAAGAGCATTAAACAGAGAGAATTATTACTTTCTTTCCCACAAGAGTGAGAAATTATTCGGTGCGGAGTTCGGACGTAACTCTGTGTTCGAACTCTAATAAAATCATGACACGTATATTGTATACATGCATAATCATTTCTATTTCGAATTTAATTTTTTTCTTGCCAACCTGACCGACTTGGCCTAGAAATTTACAGAAGCCAGCGTTCTCAACTAGGGCATATAAACACTGCGCTTTTACAATAGTAAATCATGGAGTACAAACGACTTACAAGCTTTAAAAACAAGCAGGACTTCAGAATTACTCTTAAAATTTGTTCCGGGTTGGCAAGAAAAAAAAAACTAAATAAGAAATATAAATGAATATCAACGTCTATGGTACATGTGTTGCAATTTTATTGAAGTCCGGACGCAGAGCTACGACCGAACTCCGCACAGAATAAAGTCATAGCAAGATCGAACTTGTGCTGAAAACTTAACCCCTTCGATATTTACACAAATTTGTGATAATTTTAAAACGACAAGAAAAGTTGTTCACATGTAAACAGACTATTTCAAAGAATATTTTTATGCCAAACAGAATTATACCAATCCACATTCTAAAATTTGGAAAGAAGATGATACGTCGCATCAGACAAAGAAAAACTCTCCTTGCCTTCCCAAAAGAACTCGTGGGCATCATCCAACCTCTAAATATTCACAATTCTCAGAAATTCAGTTTTAGTTTGGGATAATTTTCTTATTATTATTTAAAGTAACTCTCTAGTACAAAAATTACTTTAAGAAGAAGTAAAAAAATAGTCCCGAACCAAGCCTAAAGCAGGAATTATGAAGACACCAAGTGCCACCAGGAATAATGCTATGAAGATGAGCATTTAAGGAAAAAAAATCACCAAGTACGTATCACCGAGAACTCTCAGCAATCCAATGATCGAAAACAAAGAGATTTTGGTTTCTTTTGGGACTGCTTTATTCCTACTTCTTAAAGCACTTTCAAGTACAAAAATTAAAACTTTTGTACTAAAAAACTGCTTTAAGAAGCAGTAAGAAAGCCGTCCCAAACCAAATCTTCATCAATATTATGAACGATGAAGTTAGGATATTTTTTTAATAGTAAGAGTAGAAGTAGTCCAGATGGCCTTCTCATTGATGCCATTATCAAATAAAGAATTCATTTATTATGTTGTGAGCCTTCTTGTTAATTTTAAAAAGAAGATTTTATTGTTAGAAAATTTAATCTCGATACATAAGTTTCTCAAATTCAACAACATTTTTTCAATTCGAGATAAATTTATAAAATATAGAATCGACTGAATAAAGATGCGGAAGCCAATTCATAAACAAATTTTACTTAGCTCAGGCCATTGAAATTTGATTGTGTTTTTCACTAATTTTGAATTCTTCTAAACAATTTTTCTCTCCCAAAATTGTGTATGTTTATTCTTCTTAGAAGTGGTTAGAGAGAAAGTCTTAGAGATCCGAAATATATAAAAATTCTGAATTAATTACTACCCATCGTAGCAATAAATGAAATTTAAGTTTTAAGAGCTGAATTGAAACTTAGAAACTGTCGGTATTAGGAGTAACTGTGATTTTAAAATGGAAAATGATTAATTAATTAAAAATAATTTGAATCATTAATGATAGTTATTTTAACATTTATAAGCTGTAGCCTATCATCAAATGGCAAGAATTTTTTTTTCCAACCTGCAATCCAGTAATTTGGTTTACAGTAGAACTTAAAAAGATAAACAACATATAATGGATGGCATGTGCTAGGAATTGGTATAGTTTATTCGTAGGTTTATTTTATCCTGATAAAACTATAAATATAGATAGATTGTAATAGACTTTTGTAGAGCAAGGCAAGGGAATAAAATATATTTTTCTTCTGATTTGCTCTCTCTCTCTCTCTCTTCCAAGCTTAGTTTCTTCTTCTTTCTCCTCAAGAAATCTCAACAAATTGGTATCATAGTTGATAGCTAGATGGAGGTGGATGAAGGATCTTGTCCAAAGAAAGAAAGAGAGGAGGCAAGTTGTCTGCATGTGAGGGACGGACATGTGTTGGAGGTATGCGGTAGATCGTGTGTGCGAGGCTAAGAACGGAGGTCGGTGCCATCGGCGTGGAAGTTAGGGGAAGCCGCTGGGTGATCATGGGAGCTGGTGGCGCTTAAGTTAAAGCGGCAAGCAGGGTCGTCCTCACAAGTTGGGGATCATACATGAAAGAGAAGGTTTGGTTGTGTGGTCTTGGGGTCGGACACTAGCACATGAAGCACAGATGTGTAAGTCTGGGATCACGAGAAGGTTGTTACATGCGTGGAAGTGGGTAGGAGTTCAGGCCTGGGGAGTTCGGTCCGGCCGATGTCACGCAAGTAGGGTGCAAGGCGAGAACATTGGAGTTGTGGGAGAAGGGACAAAGACGGGCACTGGTTTGGATCGCGAGTTCAGTCATGTGAGAGAAGGAGGGGTGGCGATTTTGCGGTTCATGTATGGTTCTTTCGGTCGAATTTGGATTCCAGATGAACGAGGCGTGGCTCAGGTGCTAACATATTGTAAGAACACTACAAAAATTATTGATTAAAGATCTATTTAGATCTTTGAGCTAGGTCAAAGTATAATCAACTATGATTTAGGATCATATCGATGCAAAGATTCGAAATCGATAAATATATTGGGGCAAACTTTTTCAGTTTATGGAAAATCAAATGGAGGCTCTTCTTGTTCATCAAATAATTTTTTGAGGTGATTTTGAGGGAAGATCTTGCTTCCATAACCGACAGTACAAGAGTTAGGCAAACCTAATTGAAGGCTCATAATGTGATTCTTTTATCACTCGGTGATGAAGTGTTGAGAGTAGCCAAATAGGATTTGGCTATATAAGTCTGGGAGAAATCAAATCGTTGTATCTAAAGAGATCATTGACCAATTGGTTGTATCTAAAGAAATCTTTATGCACATTGCAGATGAATGAAAGCAAAGACTTGAAAAAGCACACTGATGAATTTAACAAAATTACTATTGATCTCAAGAATGTATATGTCAAGATTGAGAAGGAAAATCATGACATCATTCTCCAAAGCTCGTTTGCCGAAATCATATGAGAATATAA